GACCATCTGCATGGACGCGGTGCAGAAGTGGGGGCGACAATATGACGTTCACAATCTTTTTGGATACTCTATGACCCTCTCGACACAACGGTGAGGAATCCTGTGTGACATCTTTATGAAAAAGGGCTGAGTTGAGCATACGGCCTCTGCTGAGGAAAACGGAACGAATTCCTTCCCCAGGGAACCTGATCTGGGGGTCAAGATGAATGATCACAATGGCCTGAACCTAGGCATTCAAAATCACTTTGTTTTAAATTCAAATTAATTTTAACTTTAACTTCAAATTCAGATTGAATTCTGAACCAAAATTCGAAGTCCTGGTGTTGGATTTTGGCGACCTGAAGCTGAAAGGAGACCTGAGCTTTAGTATCTGGAGTTCAAATATGACAAAGGCTGGCAGGAAAAAACTCACAGAAAAGTTCTTTAAGGTGAAAACATACATGTATAGAAAATTAATTTAGCTAGCAGACACCTGGTTAAACTGAAGCGAGTCTGTGTCCTTAGCTTATTTATCATTGTGAATGAATAAGTGAAAATTAACGGAAACTTTCCTTATTACCAATCTCCTTGTCTCCACAACTTTTAAAAGAAGTCGGTTTTGCCTAATTCCAACCTTTTTTGACTTTCAGAGCCATCGAGTCGTTGTTCCCTGGAAAACGAAGCTTCCTGCTTTCGAGGTCTACATTTGCAGGGTCGGGCAAGTACGCCGGACACTGGCTGGGGGATAACACGGCGACGTGGGACCACATAAAATGGGCGATACCCGGAATACTGGAATTTGGCCTCTTTGGAATCCCTTATGTATGAAAACAGTAATTTCTGGGACCTTTTCCAAACAAACGCGTATCCGTGATACCTGATCAAGTCTGAGATGTATAAGCCCATCTGAATAAAAAGAAATATAATTATAATTATATAAATAAACATACATATATAAATAATTATGATATAAATATAAAATGTATAAACATATAAATGTATTATTACATAAATATAAAATATAAAAATATATAAATACATCAATATGTACATACATAATATTAAGATATTGATAAAGAAATATATGAATAAATTATATAAATTAAGATAAATTAAAATACAATGTAAAAATAAATCCTAGCATAAAATACAGTAATGCCCCTATGAATTAATCCCTTTAGGAATCTGATTTAAACATTTTTTTCCCCAGTAATAACTGATCTAAACTGTAGGTCATTTCCCTCTATTGCCTATTGAATCTGCGGGTATATCGTTATTAAATATATTATTTTATATGTTTCCAGCCCCCCAATGCCTCCACTACTTGTCATTCGTTAGCGATTGGTGCGAGGTTCTTTAAATGCAAGAAGAACACCCACTTCTTAGTGCAACGCTTGCTTTCCTGTTCAGGATTTGAATTTCTGTGACTTGTGGTCTACTTTGCTAATTTATGCATATTAACCCCAAGCAGGAAGATAAATCGCTGGGAGAAAGGGACCAATGAGCAGTGTTAACCTTCAGTCAGTTTAATTTTCTGTACTACCTATATTTGAGTTATTCTAACTCCCTGCGTGTAGACTGTGGGCTGTAAAATCAGTTGCAGACCTTGGATGCAGAAAAAAATTCAGAAAAATTTGTACTTAGATGGCTACTTCTGCCACAAGAAAAGGTCTCAGAAACCTCAGAAATTCCAGGGTTCAACTGGAGGAAAAGATAACGGGGAAAGTTAAG